ACCTGCATTAATGGGCAGTTCTAGATGGGGGCCAACAGGGTACCAAAGAAGTTATACTAAATAAATGTCTTATGCTAATACAGTGGTGGATTTTTTTAACCTTCACAATTTTACTTTAACAATGAATAAAAAATTATAGTGCTGCACTTTTAGCTGCTGTATGGAGATAGGATCATATTTTCTATCCGCCAGGGATCTGCAAACTGAACCTCTGAAGACGCAAGTGGGTCTTTGGCTCACTTATTATATCAAATGATGAAATATTGCTCTTTTTCTTGTTTCATTCTTTTTCAAGTGTTGCCATGGAAAAACACTCACTATCCTGGTCCCTGTGGTAAATCTGGTCTAGAACCAGCATCCAAACCTAACTCCTTATTTATATAAATATTTTGGTAATACTCTGTAAAATATCAGAATGTTCACATACATTTCATACACACATTTTGAATATTAAATCAGGTGTTATGATCAGTTACTCAGTGGTTTACCAAATACTTTTTACACTTGCTTAATTAAATGTATGTATGTAGAAATAGGATCCAACCGACCCCACACACGTAAAACTTGTATCATTTGCCATAGTCCTCTACGTTTGCCTTAGTCCTCGCACGCACAAGGGTTAAAGTATTCCACTCTGATTGGAGTACAGTTTTGGGGTACTCTAACCGACCTCTATGCATGAACGATTGCTCTATGGATCACTTTTTAAAGACAAAAAACACTGCCATAAAATAATGTCTATCACTGCAGCGGATGTCCCGCCCCATGAGTAGGACGACGCGCCATGGTGGGCGTCCCTTATTGTGATTTCTTAAAGGTGGCAACCCTAATTGTGAGAAATGTCTCAAACTGTCACACATAGAAAAAAACTGAGCGAGAAACGGCCAGCAAATGAAACAAGTTCATTAAGCTTTATTTTTCATATTTAATCAGTGATGGAATCTACTTACATAGTTGGTGGCCCACAGAGCTTTGAGTTTTAGGTAGCGCTGCAGTCGGTGTCCAAGGGTCGACTCAAACTCATTGGCCAACTTAGTCATTTGCTGAAACTCTGAATCCGTCAACAGAGGGCGCACTGACTCTAGATACTAGAGACAAACAGGGAGTGACAATAGGGAAGCAAGGACGAGCAATCCAGCTGTTTTATTATACATATATCTATCCCTTAAACCTTTTCAAGTTTTTAACTGTTTCAATGTATTTCTTGAGAATTTTAGTTGTACAGAAACAAAAAGTGAAAGGAAAGCGATGAGACTTTTTTCTAAATTTTAAACATATTTAAAAATTCAAACATATAGAAAGCGTGGATTTCCTTCAGAAGTTACCTAATATGTAAATATAATGTGATTCAGATGTTCTGTGAAGGTTTGTCAAAGAACAGTAGGAAACAAGCAGCTTGATGAAGACTCAACAGTGGGAAGAATGTAACAAACGCAAAACTTACACAGACATGGCTGTTCGCAGAAACTGAGAGGAGAGCACTAATCAGAGAAGAAGACAGAACAGATGAAGAAGAATTACCCTGCCCAGAGTGTCTTGTATGCCAGGAACGGGGAGATGAGGGAGGGAGGTTTGATAGCTGTACAGCAAAGGCTTCTTTCTTGAAAATAACCTCATCAGAGTCTGAGAAGAACAAAAAAAAAAAAACCTTTGTGTCACTTTCAGAAAGTTAACAGATGATAATAACAGTTTTTTAAAACAGATTTTAAATGAAAATGCACTCAGACTTAGTAATAAATAACAATCACTGGTATGCACAGAAAACAGCCTGGTTCTTACCACCCAGACTTTGGTGGTGTTGGAGACTCTCCCATGCTGCTCGAACATCCAGTAGTGGTAGGAGAGCAGCAGTTTGAGGCAGAAGCGCAGGGCGAGGATGAGGGAGAGCCACAGCAGGGTGCTGAAGACCAGAGCTGACACCATGGTTTGACCCTGACTGCTCAGAGAAACATGCAGACTGCACAGAAAGACGGGAACAAACGTCATCACAAAGAGAACTACAAATATTAACACGAGCTTCAATTAATTCTGACGAATAAAATGGGAAAACATATGTATCTACAGGTAGAGTGCGTCTGTGGAGAACTATGACTAGGAAAGAGCAACAGCTCCATCTACTGGTAAAAAGAAGCAATCGACTTTCAATGTTCTAGAATCATATGTTGTTAAAATAAACATGCATGGAGAAATATTAAAATTCCAGAAATTATTAATTATTATTCTGTGACTAATATTGTTAAAAATAAAAAAAAGCAAAATGGACTTAGACTTGACTCTGGACTTAATCAGAAAGTCTTGAAACGTATTGTGACTTGCAAAAAAAAAAAGTGGAAAAGTAGCTGCTTCCTTCCAAATGGATTCTGTTTTGGTTTGTTTCAGAACAAACACATTTAAAAATTTAAAACAAAGACTGAATATATTTTCACACAGGATCAGGTAGGTTTGAATAAATACCTACCTGAATAAATAAGAACATTTAAAAAAAAGGTTTGTATTTAACGTACTTATCTCTGTCTTAAAATGTGATTGCAAATGTAAAACACAAGTACTTTCTTTTAATAATCTAGTATATATTTCCACATCAACACTTAATATTGTTTCCTGTCTCTGATGTCTTCGTTGGTGGTTTTTAAAAACAACTCATCCCGGTTCTGTTTACCTCAGAGGAAGATGCTGCTGTATCTTTGCGATGAGCCCCATGCTGGGATCAGACTGCATATACATGGTAGCCAGGATCCCTATGGCAACAAAGAGCCACGACGATGGGCTAGCAGGATACACTCCCTTTATCACTCTGTTCTGTAACGGCAGAAGAAAAAAAAACAAAGTATGATTTTAAAATCAGTATTTTTCTTTGCTTTTTGACCAAATGCACATGAATATTAGTTTCTTAATTTAAAATTGATTGTTGGGAAACTTGATTTCCTCCAGATTGATGGCTTTTAGTGTTAATGTAATATGTAAACCATCTTCAAGTATTTTTTTATGAAATACTATTTTTTTTTACGATAAATAAAAAGTAGGGTGATAAATAAAAATAATTCATTTTTTACTGACTCGCCTAATTCATAATTCTCATTCTTTTTTAGATCAGTTCACAGATGAGTAAATCCAAGTGATTTCACTCAACTTTCCAAAGTAAAATATAATCAGAAATGAATCATTTGTTTCTTGTTTTTCACTGATGCTTTAGAACTGACTGAACCTGAGCTATTTTGCAGATAGAAAATGGAGAAACATTTTTAGACTGGCAAAATGTTAGAATCATTAGCCCACAAGACTTTCAGTTGTAACTGCAGCAAAAGATGGTTTTAATCGACTCAGGGGGGCTGAAAAGAATTACATGCTACACTATTTAGATTTTAATTATAAAAATAATACAGAACCCATGTTCCTTTACAGAGATAAATCACAATAGGAACAGCTTCTAATCTCTGCAGCTGATGAAAATTTCTTTTGCAACTTTTAAAGTAATACAGCATAAAAAATTAAAAATAAAAAACTAAGCAAAAAGCATAAGTCTTGAAATACTGGCATAGGGATCAGTTATCAGAAAAAAACAAAATAACTTACAAATTTAAAAAAAAATAAAATAAAATAAAATGAGCTGAACTCTTAACAGTACATAAGCAGTAAAAGGTCTTCAAAATAGTCACTCAGAACATGATAAAGTCAGATGTAATGTAGAAAACTCCAAAACATTTTCTTTTACTGCACTGTTTGGGTCTGTTTATTACATAAAATCCTATTAAAACTCCTGGAAGTTTGTGAGTGTGATGTGACAAAATGTGGAGGAGTTAAAGGAGTGTCATTTAAAAGGTATTGTAGCAGGAAGAAAACAAACATATACAACTCTCTGGGCGAGTCCACACCCTGAACTGGTGTGTGTGTGTGTGTGTGTGTGTGTGTGTGTGTGGTGGCAGTTGAAGAGATATTCATGTTTTCATTGAACGATGGATTATAGACTATAGTGCAGCTAAACCCACTGAACCTTATAAAACAGCTTTCCAACAGACTACTCAGAATAAATTTATTGCATAACAAAGTACATAACACCTGCTTTTTGTGGCTTGTGTTATAACTGTAATCTGACACCATTTATTAAAAGCCTCTGGATTCTTTTTCTTCCTGGTTATAAACGACATTTCACCATACCATTGCAACACTTGACACACCCACACATGTAGTAGCAAGTTGCGATTACGTCTTAGCAAAAAGAGAATTTCTACCTACTGAGGTATGAAAACTTAATGGAGTTCAGACTGACAATAAGTTACACAGGTTTGTATTGTCTCTGTCAGTTTCTAATTGATATAGATATTTGTAAATCCAGTCGCCAGGATAGTAGCGCACAATATTTTCTGTGTATCATCATGTTAAAGGGCTTGTGTTGCTCTAAACTCTCAGAAACATAATAAAGCTGTTTGAAGTTTTATCTAAAGTAATATATTACTTTAACTCAACATTATGCAAGCAAGTCAAGACTTTTGTAAAAGGAAAGACAGTAATCGAACACTTTGATCTACTTCAGGATGTATAGTTTGAAAACAATGTAGTAAAACTGCAAGTGAAAGAATTTTAGAGACATAATTTGATGTGTTCTGATTGAGGATTTTGGGCTGAAAAAGCCTTTTAAAGATTTTTTAGTATGAAAAGTCATTAAATACAACGACAAAGTCTTTAAGTTGGCAACAGTAGGATGACAATTGTTAACTGGGCATGTGCGGATGTGACCTGGAAGGCGGGTCTGTCTGTCATTTCTCTCTCATTGAAGAGCAAAAAGGGGACAGTGGCTGATGTTCAGAACAAAGACAACCTCAAACTAATGTTCTCAGCATGAGTTTAGCAAAGAACACAGTAAACTCTATCCAAAGCATGTCCACTGGTGGGTTCAACTAAATATATAGTCAAGGTTTGTCAAAACATCATCACTACAAAGGGGTTTTCAGCTTCTTTCAATTCTTTTAAAATGAATTTAAACCATAGCAACACCATGAGAAAAAATTGTAGCTTATAGTGTTGATGGTATAGCGTTAAAACCTTAATATGCTGTAACACTGGCATGTGTTTCAGATATGTTGCCTTAAATGAAGAACAATGTGTTACTTTTTTTATATATGATATGTGTGAACAAACATCTTGGATAACTGGAAAATTAGTTCATTCAGTTATCCAATGGGGCATTGATGCCAAACTGAAAGACATTTAATGAAAGGCATTCAGGAGGAATTTTGGTTCACAAGAACGATGTGGACAACGATGTGAGGCATAATGAAGCTGATGTGACAGATGAACTCCATCCCCTCTCCATGCTGACCTTCATGCGGCTGACTCGCTTCTTCCAGGACCGGACCCCCGACAGGTAGATCTGGTTCAGGGCCTGGTAGGACAGCTGCAGGTCGATGCCTTCTGGTGTGATGGTGAACTGGAACGCTACCGCCTGATGAGCCTCCGCCATTGCTGTCACATGAAAGGAGATAAATGTGATATGAACCTCTTCTAATACAAAATATGACTGTAAACACTTAATCCATTTAATAAAATGATTTCTTAGCAAACGTTGCTAGGATGATTATAATTTTTCATGGTTCTACACCTAAAAATTATGAGGTACCCTTTGTATCACCTTCTCAGCATAGATTTCAAGTTTTATCACAATATTTTCTGGTAATATCGTGATAACGATACAAGTGACGATAAGAAGTATTTATTGCCTTTCTTTTGGTAATTGTATGGTAGTTGCAGCGTGACACAGCAACCATGGCATCACAAAGACAAGTATTGCTCTTCAGAAACATTTCCATTTGTAATACACCTCTTTAGGTCACAAAAAGAAGTGTGATTTGTATCACTAGACTGCTCAGAGTAATTACATTTAGTCATATTGTCAAATTAATTGATAAATACGTTTCGGAGAAAATAGTAAGACTAAGAATTCCGTCAACATAGACAGTTTGTGGGGCGGGGGGTGAAACAATATTAGGAATTTATCATGACAACAGTAAATACATGCCTGCTCCTAGTTTCAGGAACTGGCTGATAAGCACAGAAAATAAATTGAAAAAGTTCTAGTCTCATGATAGAAAGCTTCTCTGAAAGCCAGAAGGCATCACAGTGTGCAAATCAATGTGAAAACACTCGAATTATTCAGTGTGGAAGGAATGTTATTTTTACATGTGCAGCACCAACAGCACATTGTATTCTGCGGCTAGCTCACTCTGGTTATTTCATGCAGTTTATTTAAAAAAATGATTAATCGCTGAAAATGTAGAAAATTATTCCTGAAGTGTTTGGTCAGTAGTGGGGCTAATTTGACTGTGCATCAGATCAAAATGTAAAAACTTTAGACTGCGTTAACTTTTCACAATTTGTCACATTACAGCCACAAACAGTAATGGGTTTGTTGGGGCGGTGATTTCCTGTGATAAACCAACACAAATGCAAAGTGGTTGTGAAGTGGAACAAACACAATGACTGACTTTTTAAACGTTGTTCCAAATAAACAGAAGCAGATATATTTGTGATGCAGGTGTTTTTCTTCACTACTTCTCAATGATAACCTGAAAGAAGGAATTGTCTGTTCCTTCTTCCTGTGTAGCAATGAGACTGATTGCCACCCGTCTCCCACGCATCACAGTCGCTGCACTGTGGTTACGTGAATGCGGGAGGGGCACAGTGCACAAGGTCAGTCTGGCAGATTTTATAAGTGCTCAGCCTTTAGAGCAATGAGATGCACAGTGACCTCAGGAAGACTAGAGTAGGGAGTTATTTTCCTCTCTTAGATGAGCACAAACTTACCTCAGGCTTCACAATGTCACTGTCAAGTTTATTTCTGTAGCACATTAAAAAATAACATCACTTGACTAAAGTGTTTTACAGTTATGTGGAGGTAATCCACCGTCTTTTACCTGTTCAATCAATCACATTTAAATAGAGATGCACCGATCCATTATTCATATCTGTATCGGTGCAAATATTGAAAAAAATTCTGTGACAATGTGTCTGATCCACAAGGGTAGATCTATTCAGTCTAATTCTATGCTTTGTGCTCTGAGCAACATCATGCTTTATTATTATTTATTTTACATTACATTTAGAATTCCTAATTGCACTTTCTGAACCATTTGAAAGAAGGAATGCCACAGTTTGTTTTTATATGTTCGACGAACTTAGTCAACCTACTATTTTATCACTCTCAGTTTACATTGGCTGTTCTACTCCTAATTGCAGTGACTGAACAAATTAAAGTTGTGTTGTTTTTACATGTGTGACCAAGATTGTGAAGCTACTGGTGAATTTAAGTGTGCTGTACTGATGCAGAGTTATTAAATACATTTGCAATTAAGTACATTTATGGCTGTATTTTAAAATAAATAAATAAATAAAAAATTTCAAGTCCATTCGGCACTGTTTTTCTGTATCAGATCGGTCGATACTAAACCTCAGATATCTGTATCGGAATTGGAAGTGAAAAAGTGGGTCGGTGCATCCCTGGTTTTAACCCAAACTTTGGATTAGGTTGAGGTTGACAGCCATCTACTTGTGGGTTTGAAATGAACTATGAGTTCCTAAAGCTCATAGAACTGATATCCCAGCTCATAGAATTTGGGTAACTCCTTCTCTTTTATTGTTATTTTGTACTTTTTCTTGGTCGACCACATAAATTGCCAGTAAACTACATTGAAGTTTGTTGTAGCAGAATGTGAAAAGCCACTGCTGTTAGTTAGTATGCTAGTGCTAACACCAATACATAACCCCTCTGTTGTAAGCACAACTATAATTGTCCCTATTGTCTCTGGTCATGTGTAACTATCTAACATCCAGTCTGTTCTCCTAGACTTGAATCTGTGTGACTTCTGTTACAAGGCCACAACAAGATAGGATGTTCTACACCTCTGGGCTAGAATAACTAAACTAGAGAAGACTTGGTGCAATGTTTTAATGTAGTGTTTGTGTGCAAAAAGGCTTTAGAGATACACTAATGCCATGATACAACATGATACGTGATATTCTCCTCACAACATCATATGTATCACTTGGACTGAATTAATTGAATTGATGGTGTAATACTGATGTAATGAATGCTGTTTTTGTTATACATTTGCATTGTATACATTTGTTATACATTTGGTTATGCAGAAAAGACCTTTTCTGCATAACCAAATACACAAAAAGCAACTTTTTTTGTCTTATTCACTTATATTAGATAATGTAATTTATCTATTTCATTTCATTATTTAAGTAATTGTAACTGGTTGTTTCTTTACATGTAAATTTTAATGTACATGTGCAAGGGGGTAGAAAATGTCATGTGTGATAGCTGTCATTTAATTCACATGGATTTGACATTAAACTCAAAGTAGGATTTAATGTATCGATACTCGTGAACAAAAAATGTATACTTTCTGAGGGAAAAATATCGATAAATATTGTATAACTGATAAAATTACACAGACCTAGTGTGCACCAATTATGGAGCCAAAAAAACATATCTGTCCCCGGTTTTTATGCACTGTCTAATACAAGGTTTTTCCAAAAGAAATTGAACATGAAATATTGCAAAAGTATCCCCACTCATTGAAATTTGTCAACTTCTATCATGTTGCAAACTACAATTTTCAAAATAAAAATCTGACAAGCTTAGAACAAATGGTTGTATTTTGCATTTATCAGACCATACCTGTGTCTCCTACATGTCATATGGCAGAAATTAAACATTTTTTAGTCATTTCTGCTAAGACGCTTTAAGTTTGTTGATTATTGGTCTCCTTGAGTTAGTTGACTATGTTTGCTTTTGTAGTTGTGCTTTGCTTTGTCAAGTCTTCATAATCCTGTTTGTGTTATATGTTGGGTTTTTTTGTGTGGATTTTTCTGTGTTCTCCGTTTAGTTTGAGTTGATTTCGAGATTTCTAGTGTCTACTTTTGAGTATTAACGGTTTTTCCTTTGTCCACTAATTAGTAATTTGATTCACCTGTTTGGTTAGCTATTTAGGTTTGACGCGCCGCAGGTTTGTTGCGGCAGTTTCTTCACCAACTGAGCTGCGGGGGTCCTTTTTCTTCGATTCATCACCTGTGGTGAGAGGTCCAGCCTCGGCTTCGGTTCCAGTGCCGGTGTTTTCCAATTCGGTAGCTGGAGCAGGAGGGAGGGGCTCGGGACGTCGCCGGCATGAGGTGTTACGAGGAGTTATTCGCCGCCAGGGTTCATCAGTAAGGTTACGTGGACGTTTCCACCGCTGGATTGGTGGAGGGAGGCATTCTCCAGTTCGAGCGCTGGGAACTTTGCTGCGGATCCTGCGACATGTGGTTCGTCCTCCGGGGAACATATTGACAATGAGGCGGCCACCGGGTCGTCCACCTGAGGGTCATGGGAGGTTTTGGTTACGTTCGGGTCGTCCTCCGGAGAGGTTCGGGCCCATAGACTGGGGAAATTTTTTTTCTGTGGTCCCACCAGTTCGGTTTTCCGCCATGCAGACTGTTGGGGGCTTATTTGGTGGAAGTCCGTCTGGGGGTGTTTTTTCTGTTGCCTTTCTCACGCCCATTGTGGGTTGTTTTTGTGTTTTCCCTTACGCTCCCTTCGGGGTTTTGACTTTGGGACTGGGGGTGCCTTAGTGTTTGTTTGGGCATCTGGAATCCGCCCTTAGAGGGGGGGGTACTGTCATATGTTGGGTTTTTTGTGTGGATTTTTCTGTGTTCTCCGTTTAGTTTGAGTTGATTTCGAGATTTCTAGTGTCTACTTTTGAGTATTACCGGTTTTTCCTTTGTCCACTAATTAGTAATTTGATTCACCTGTTTGGTTAGCTATTTAGGTTTGACGCACTGCAGGTTTGTTGCAGCAGTCTCGTCTGAGTATCCTCTACGCTCTGTGTGAGTTTGTACGGTGAGATCTGACCTGTATATCTTAACTGTGATGAAAAGTAAAAGTCTAACTATGACAAGACGAAGAAGGCCTCGTGGTTCCTGTCGACACCAAACACCCTCATTCCTGACAGTTCGTCCACTTTGCTTTCTAACAAACCTAGGAGGAATTCACACAGCAGTGTGGAAACGACTCAGAGGCAGAGTCTATTTACCAGTACTAATACTAGGTGACTTTTGAAGGTGATTTTTTTAGACTTGATATAATTTCTGAGATTGGAGTAAACAAAGCCTAATACTCATTTCAGATATTCATTTGTGAATTTGTTTGTAAACATCATATAATTTTGCTTCCATTTTAGGTTTGTCTACCACAGTGTTTCCCAACACTAGTCCTCAAGGCACACTGCCCTGCATGTTATAGTAATTTCCCTGCTTTAATGTACCTGGTTCAGCTGATTGAAGTTCAGCAAAGACCTGCTAATTGAAATCGCCTGTGCTGAAGCAAGGAAAGACCTAAAACATGCAGGGTAGTGTGCCTAGAGGACCAGGGTTGGGAAACACACTTAAAAACCCAAAGTTTGTAGTTTAGAAAGTCATGATATGTAACAGTTCAATTTTGTTTGTTCAGTGTGCTCTCCCCTCTCCCCCTTTTTTATTTCCATTGTGTTTAAAAGAAAATGTAATTGTTCTGGAAAAATACACTAATCTACATAAATTATTTGAGCAGCAGAATGAAAATGGAAAAAAGTAACTAATTGCACCGACACATTCTAGAGTAACTTAGCTAAACATTAATTACCCCTAGGCTCCAAATCAGTCAGCCATGAGAGTTATTGTTAAAGCTATGACGCCAAACCAGTTTAACAGGCTCGAGCAAAAAAGAGGGTACGGCTAGCTCAGCGCGTTCCATACAAGAGTGATGGGAGGGAACTCACGTGCTTGTGAGCGTCGCTACTTTGTAATGTCAACAAATTAATAGAGGATATATTTAAGCTGTGCCATGAAAAAGCGTAAAGTGGCTTTATTAGTATCCAAAAGGCACTTAAATAATTCACTCTGTCATTCTGTCACTCGTTGCCATGCTCTAAAGTTATCGTGCGCGTTTGTAGTTAAGCCCCCTTCCCCTTCCTCTTAAATATAGAAGTCATTTGTCTTTACATTTAGACTTGACGAAACGGCCAACAAATTGCCTCAAACGGCACTTGCATACCTTCAATACTTCCCTTCAGGAGCAACAGCGATACAAAGAGACCGTTTATTTTTCGAAACCACGCGCGTACTTTGAGTCTTTCACCAGAAGACAGATATCTCCATTGTCAACTGACATCATTTGTGGGTGGACAGACATACCAACATCTTCCACAAGGACACAGGCGAGCTTCCATGTAATTAAAACAAAAACAATTTAGGGAGTATCTTGCGCTCCGATAGCAAAGTCAGAACATATGTCTGTCGCGGTAATATAATCTAGTAAAAGTGCTACACTACACTCACAGAACCACCCAACACCAACCGCTCGCGGAGCGACGCACAACTGACAAAAACGAAAAGGAAAAAGGCCTGTAAATACACAAATAGGTAAAAAACCACGAGTGGTTTCGACGAGAGAAGACAAAATAAAGATAAAATTACCTGCTCCGTCTTTTTTTTAAAGAATCTTGAACGATGGAAACAGATGTAGAAAACGTCTGCTGGCGCCCCTCCCTTCACGAGCCCGTTACACGTGAGCACCCCTTTAGAAGCGTCCATAGCCAATGGCTGAAAAGCAGCACTACGTCATTTGCTTCCTTTTTTGGGAGCATCACACCCATTTTTGATTCATAACGTACAGAGAAAGCCCAGGCGGTAAATTAGAAGTTAAAAAAGGCAGTTATTATCATTATTATTATTATTATTATTTCATTGCCATTACAAAATGGCTGGAGATATTTGTTGCAAGTTTACTCTGTAGTACATACAGTTGCCATAAAAAGTCTTCACATTTCTGTTGAAATTAATTTATCAGGGGGTTTTATAATCTCACAAAACGTGGCATTGTATATAAACTTTTTTTCCACCTATGTAACTAATTTTACATAATAAAAGAAAGAGGTTATTTTTAAAGTTTTAAACAGAAATGCCAGGTTTCTGAGAAGTATCCTCAGAGACACAATTTTGGGTTTATTTTCTGAAATAAGTAAATGAATCCTGATTCTTTTAGTTGTACTGTTAATACAGTCTAAGAAGGGATTGTATGCGAGTCCTCTGCTGTGATGAAGCATGTATTTAGTTGAGACTAAATACAGCCAGCAGATTTAGGTTTAACATTATTTTAATTTAGTCATAAACTTTGTTTCTAAAAGAAAACATGACCAGAATCTCTCTCAAAGAGTATCAGTTTAGAAAGATGTACCATTTTTTCACTCTAAATAAAATGCACGTCAAACATTATTTATGCCTTTCCCAACAACAGTTGTTGCAAAAACCTATATATGTATCACTGCAGTCAAAACCATCTAATCATTTCTAACCTTCTTTTTGAATGTTTTCATTGGTATTCTGACGATTCATCTTGGTTGAAGAGGTCAAAGTCTTTGTCTCCACCTCAGGTTTATTTTTTTAATCAAATACTAAGTTGATGCATGAGGCCTATCTGTTATTTTAGACAGATTATTGACATAACAACTGGCTTAACTACTGGGTTAATCATACACAATGTTCCAGGTCAGATAATGCGCAAGTTCTGGGTCAAACACACATAATATTCTGCATCAGCCACAACAGTATTCACCTCCCCCTAAAAAGATAATTTTGTTTTCCTACTAACATGTCCTTCTCAAGATTTTAATCTTTACCTCCCTAAACAGATTATTTGTCACTTTAGTTGGGACTGGCTACAAAGTGGTAATACTTGAATTCAGATGTTGGTAAAATTCAAAGATTAATTGAAACCTAAATCTGCCAGACCGAGCAATTATTTTGACATTAACTCCAAGTTTTGCAGACCATTAAACTACTTTTAATTTATCAAATATAACTGACTGCATGGTGGTACAGTTGTTAGCGTTGTTGTTTTATAACAAGACGATCGTAGGTCCGAATCCTGGAGCCTGGTTCTTTGCAGTTACTCTGCTGTCCACAGTCCAAAATTCAGCAAGATATTTTAACTGGTTTCTCTCTCTTAACTGAAAATACATTTACCCCTATTGAAAAACCATTAGCTCAATCTCAATATTAAATTGACTTCATTTAAATAGAACCTGTCTGACAAAATAAAGTAAGATAAAAGATTTAAGAGAGCACCACAACATTCCTCTATCCAAATTAATTTAAGAGCAGATGAGAAACAAAGTGAACAATTCATCAGTCTGCAATAAATATGAGATATCACAGTGGTGAACCTTCCTGGAATGGATCAGCCTTACCAGAATTCTCCAAAAGTGCATCGATGACTTAACGAAAACATCATAAAGCAACCCAATCTACATGACTGCGGATGACTAGGACCAGCTAAGATCAGTATTTAAGACAAAATACTGACAAAATTATGTAAAAGTTGTTTCAGTGGGAGTGATCCAAGGCCAAAATTAAAGACTAAACATCTTTTCAGAAACAAGACATTGTACAAACAGTCAGAAGTGGTGGTGGTAGGATGGTGGTCTGGGGCTTCTTCTGGACCTGGACCATTTGATGTAATGGATACAATCAGTTGGCAATCATTTCAATTAAACTCAACAACATTCTGGTTACGAGGTAAGACAACAAAGTTCGGACTGGCCTTGTCAAAGTCCGTGCCTGAATCTGGTAGTGACCATTGGTAGTCTATTTGGATGACAGATGGTTTGTCAAGACCAAAGATGGCAAAGCCAGTTGGAAGGTTTGGGGGCAATTACTTTTCACATAGGATCAGATTGCTTCACCAGGTTGGCCACTAGTAACCCTCTTAAACCTCCCATGTTCTTAGCATGAGCTCAGATGACAGACATCAGACTGCCAGTTACCAAAACCAAAGAAGCCCAAAAATCTCCTAAAAGTACACACGGAACCGTGCACAGGGTAAAAAGCTCGCGGGATCAAACAGACCTCACGGGAAAGTTAAACTGTAGTGATTATTCAACAAATCAAACCCAAACTCCAACATACATTTCCATTGTTGTTTATTGAACAGCATTTCTCACAGGCAATAATAATCATAGTCATAATAGTGCACTTTTCCTTTTGAGTAATTGTACTACAGACATTTCTCTTTGTCGTCATCATCATCATTAATCGTGTTAGCTCCTCTTTCGACCCCCGGTCACACCTACTCCTTCTTTGTTCATGAATTCTTTTAGAGTGAAAAAGTCTTTTTTTTTTGTCTACTGCGTGAATCGGTGTGGGGAAGTGAAGGTTGTGAAACAGAAGCGAGGGTGGAGGGAATTTGACGTTGGAAAGAGGGTTTAAGGACGTAAGGGCTGCAGATATTGTAGTTGTATTGTTGTTATGACTGCAGAAGAAGAAGAAGAATGAGTAATAATGATGAGAATAAGAGCTGTATGGTGACTACAGAGACAATAAAACATAGTGAATGCTACATAGCTATGAATGGCATACAATGGAGATAGAGACAGGCACACAGTGTATACGAACGTATACAGCATCTGCATCAAAGTATATAGTGTAGAAAATGTATACAAGAAGGGTGATTATATAAGAGGATGTCTTATGTGCATTTAGGAGGAAAGTGGGGATTGAAATACAAAGAGACGGAATGGGAAGATGTACAAGATATAAGGTAAGTAAGTTCTGTAACTGATTAGCTAACTTCTTTAGCTTCAGTTGGGTTTGTTCTTTCTTCTGAATTACATTCTAAGTTGGTGTTTTAAAATAGGTATGGAAATCTGTAACTTGAGACCTGTTTGACCTCTGCCCTTTGGACACGGGGCTTGTGCTCCAGGGTCACCACAAGTGTCAAATGTGCATGCACTCACCAGAAGACTAAAATGCACGCCCACCATATATCTAACATCGCTACCGAGCGCCGGCTTACTGCAAGAACTTACAGTCCCTCCCCAAAGCTGTTCTAAAACTAAACAGCTTCACCTGAGTCTGTGGTGCATCCATTGTAGCAGACATACTGAAAAGGTTTAGGTTGCCTTTAGGTCTGAAGCTGTTGAAACCAGCTCTGTTGAAGAACAAGGTTGCCAAAAGTCAGGAGAGAATGGGTTTAAATTTAAGAGATTTTGATGACTAAGCAAAAAGTACATGAACACATGAATGTGACAACTCTGACCTTACCATGCCAGCTTTGAAATTAATAAAAAAACCAGTTATGTTTAGCAATGATAGCATGCCGACATGTCAATTAGCTCTAAACGCAGAGCACAGCCAGATATTTGTGAAAATGAATTTACCAGCAATTTGAGGTCCTATACATGTGTATTTTTTCTTTTTTTACTTTTAAAAAAATGTAAAATTAAAGTGCGTCGACACAACAGAAGATAATGTAGTAGGTATGCCGGGCCAATTGGTGGCATTGTAACACTGCCAGCTTACGGCACAAACAACAGAATGTGGCATGCTTGTCATTTGTGAGAATGAGGTGCATGCGGGGTAGAGAGAGCTGGAGTTATGACTTCATAGTTAATTCCATGTGGCTCGCATGGCCACACAGAGTCATGAAACCAGCGTTTTGAAATTCAACAACCCCAGAACCCGGTTTCAGCTGCATCGTTTCTGGTCTCCCAAATGCCGAATTCGTATGGGCGTATTGTAGATAGGGAAAAAAAAATGAGGAGAAAATCAGTTTAATTTTTTCATGCATATTTGTGACTTTTGAAATTCAGAAATTTCCAAGTTTTTTTCTAGAAATTTTTCAGCTTTTCAAGTTCAGAAATTTCCTTGTATATTCTAGGACATTTTTGAGATTATCTTTAAATTTCTGAGTTTTTTTGGCAGAAATTTACTACTCCTTTTTCAAAAAATATATCTTCAAGGGCCATAAAAAGCTGTTGTAAATTCGTGTGGAGGCACTTCCTAAAGTACCAAAAACTTTAGCAGACACACCCAAAAACATCTTTGTGTGGGCGGTGCCAAACAGCTGTTCTACAGAACCGATATTTTTTAACTGGAGCCAAAACCTTATGAAAGAGAATAAACGTCTGTATCTGTGGACCTCCTGCATAGTCGTGAAAATGCTTTTCTTTCTGTTGTGAGAGCTGTATGACCTACGTCAGAGCTGTTACCAAGCTGTTGTACTGGATCGACATTTTTTTCAACCTTGGAAACAAGACCAGCTAAAATAAAATAAATGGCTTCTTCTGTGGACATCATGCATAGCTGTGAATATGTTATTGTTTATGTCATAAGAGCTGTAGGATCTAATGAATAATCTACGTTGGGGCTTGTTCCACAGTGAACAAAATGTCTAAAATGTCCTACAAGTATGTGTTTTGTTCCCCTAGGCGGAAAGACAGAGAAATTCTTTAAAGTAGTCATACAACATTCTAATAACCTATTATCTTCGTTTTGTCTGAGGCGGTGATAAAAATCAAACACAGCAAACTAGAATGAAGTCTCGGATAATTATCTACATATCACTAAAGTTCCTCCTAAAATGTCAGAGTGTAGATGAACTTTTGGTTTAGCTTTGTAAAAGGTGAACATCTATAGTGACACACACAGATGACAATAAATAAATTCCAAACTTAACAGAAGATACAAAAATGTACATCGGCGCTTAAAGCATATTTTGGCATAAAATATCTCAGTGTCAAAGTAAGTTATTCTTCAGTGACAGATATTGGTTTACTCTTAAAATCCCTGCACGGAAAAAAAAACTACTTTCAAACAATACATAGCAAATAAAAAAAAAAAAAATACAAACTTCAATAAATACATGGATAAAAATGTGGTGCAGTAATTTTAAGAACTTTTTTTTGACATTCAAATAATTAGTTCCACGCTCATTTATGCTTGTGTTAAAATACATCAATGAAAAACATCTATACATACAGAGACCGGTGCAATAAAAGGAAGGAAACAATAAAAAAAAAGAAAAATACCAGGGACATTTCATTCTTCAGTTTGGCTTCATTTTTCCTACCCAGGCAGCATGAGTATAGTTTCTATGACGACAGACACACCTGAGTATGTTGGATCTTTCACCTCAGCTTTCTTGTAAACAGTACATTCCCGACCTTCATTCTTTTTCAGTGAAACGTAAAACATTTAGACTTTGAGAGTAGGAATGGTTTCAAACAACTGTGTTGAAATTTCTAACTGTAAAAAGAGCCTCTTTGAATCATTGCTTACTGACTCAAGAAGCCAGTAATGGACAATTATTTGTTTATTAATGCTTAAGATAAGTTTTAGCTTCGGCTAATGTGGGTTATAGCCATTTAAGCTAGCCCAGAATTGTCTTTTCCTTCGTTGTTGGAGGCTAGTTATTCTAGTCTACGCAAATACGTGAAGAACATTGATCATATCGGACCTTTGGTTAAAGTTGTGTTAAAAACCGAAAAATGGCAGACGAGTTTCACATAATGTAACCATCAATTCAATGACAATGCACTGTAGCAAAAGCCAGTAAATTAGCTGCTTTAGCCCTCCAAAGACAGGACATCCACAGACATCTTATAAATAGTAATTTCAGGTCCGTTAGATATTTTTGTAAACAAAGTGGACATATGTCATGTCCAAATTTACAAAACATGAGGCTTGGTTAGCAAACATTCTGTCCTTACAACACTAAAGATGCTTTTCAGTCTTTTCTTAGCATTGTAATATTGAAAAAAAAGTCATTTTATTTGAGTCTAGATATGAGGAAACAAAGCAGTTTTTTGTGAAGTACCAAACCTTGTCACATCTTGTGTGGCTTTCCTTGTGCTTTGTTTGGACTAGTGAAGGTGCATTGGGATCAAGGATGTGGTATTTACATTGTTCTGCTGTATCACGATGGGGTACGTTTCCTTTGTAATTATTACTTTTTGCATATATTTATGAGCCAACTGACCTCTGGGATACATTTGGACCCAAGTTGGTCAAATATTTATCTAATCAGAAAGGCCAACCCTAAAGTTTCCTTTCTGTTTTATGCATGTCTGTGGAGTAAATTTTCACCAGAGTGGACATTATAGAGTGAGACTGAGTAATGTTGGTATTTGACTGATGTTGCAATGTCCTTACCACTATTGTATTGATTCTATAGATATCATTTCAGCATTTTTTTTTAAATTTTGACACTAATGAGAAAATCTGCTCTAGTGGATTGGCGGTAGGGCTGAGATTTAAGACTCCTGATGTCAGAAGATTAACTAAAGCAGGAAAACATATAAAGAAATTTAGGAATTGATACTCTGTGTGGTTGTTTTTATATGGAAACTAACAACCTGGAAGGTGTGGGAGAAAATCTATTCTTATCTTTACAGAAAGTAAAGTCCAGTCCTTGGACCTGGCAATAGTAAACTTATTTGATGACATCAAGCCTACTTTTTCTGAGGCAAAATCAAGAAATGCAGAGGAACTGTGGAATGTACTCCAACCTATTAACAAGCTGACATAACTGTTAATAGTTGCCAGATGTCAGCTGATGTAATTCAACACAGATGTGAGGCAATTTTCAGAATCAATGCTTGTACATGTAAATATTCGCTAAATTCTTCACAGGAAAACTGAATCTTCAAGCATTTTACTTCAGTTATTTTTTTTAATCCCCCTTTTTTCTCACCTTGTTGTGTAAACAAACATCATACATTTTTCTCCCAGTTTGGCATGGAATGGGCAGTATTCGCAGTTCTTTTGCATGTACAGAAATAGAAGTTACAATCAGATTTTCCTTGCTTTCTCAAATATACTGCTGTTATTTGGAACAAAGTTTTATGCTTTATTGTTCTGCCATTAACAATATTAAATATAAGAAGAAGTAAATTATGTAGAAACAAGAGGGACCAACAAGCATCTAGGCAAAAGGAAAGTGAATTTGGTGTAAACAGGATACAAGCAGCATACAGCTACTGAGATAACTGAAATATATCACTGTCATTATGAGTCAGAAGTACGACTTTCTTTGTTTGGTCAGATTCAGAGAAGAGAATCTCTAATAGGAAGGAAAAGATTGTGGTTTGTGTTCATGAAAAGCCATTTCTGAAACTGTGGTAATGCTAAGCTAATGCTAACCATGATGAGGCATAACTTGACGGCTTGTTCAATTGTTTAAAAGTTTACAGGTCTATTACCGTAATTATGCACTTGGTACTTACTGTATGATGATAAAGGGATTTTAAAATTAGCGTACTGCACCAGAGTATGGTTGAAGAGGAACCAGCTCATATTAGTGCCAGCATGTGTTTTAGATTAGATGTTGTTCTAAGGCTCAGAGAGACCAACTTAAAAAAGAACAAACTAAAATTTCTAAAACAGCAAATGCATCAGGAGAAACTAGTAAACAAAAAAAAAAACATTTTTCCATTCATATGGATTACGCATGGCGTAAAAGAAATACTCTAAAAATCATTCACATAAAAACTGCTTTTCATTTCTAAATAAGCCAAAGAGAAGGTTTATGGCGTCTTAGTTTTTTTTGTGTCCACTGCATTTAAATGAACGGGCAGCTCCTTCTATGTTTGGCCTCTTAATCTTTTCATCCAGCATGCTTTTAGACTAGTAGGGGACCCTCCTTGCAGCTTGACTAGTTTTTCCTTGAAACGTGGCTAAATTCTTACCGTTATCCACATTTGTCTTCTCTTGTAAAGGCATTATGGTATCATAGCTTCATATTGTTGTATATCAGAAATAACTGTGTGGAGTTGGGGTGGGGGCTCCATATGTTTGAGGAAAAGTTGTGCCACTCCGACGCACGGTGTCCACGTTACCGCGGATTCGTTCTCTGGTGGTATTTGTTCCTCTGCTCTCATCCTGGTTGATTGTGAAAATGTGCCGTTAGCTTAGCCGTTGCTGAGCTTTTAGGGACACAAACCACTTCAGACGATCACAAAGCTCATCTGATTCTCGGCCGGCTTTCCTTCATGTTTTCGGTCTGCTTGGAGAAAACACATTTGTTCGCCCTTAGAAAGGTGAGGAGAGGAAGTGATGCAGACGATAAATCTGGATGGGCAGGAAGTGATGAAAGGGAATGCGTCGATACACTCAGTCGCTGGCCGGTGTCGCAGCGAACCAACCTGACCAAATGACCTGGAGGATTCCTGCAAAGTCTGAAGCAACTGTTGATTGTGATAGTTTGTTGGAAATGTCCTGTGCTTTGTCGATCTGCTGTGGGAGGTGGACAACTCGTTTCGCTGGTTGTGAGCTTTCTCTGTTCTACATTCCCATTCCCTTCTGTACGCCTTTCTACTACAGACAGACACTTTGGGAGAATTCTCTGGATCTCTAGATGATCTTTGACTAAAGTCCTTCTTGCCTTCCATTCCTTTAAATGGGATTAAAGGTCAGAGGCCTGGAAGGGAGAAAGGAAAAGGCTAAAGAAAGAAAGCAGGGAGGACTGAGTGGAGGAAGAGAGGGAAGCCAGGCGGTCAACCCTCTTCTCGTTTGCAACATTCTTTTCACGGGTGAGACTGCGTCCCGTTGGACGATGAAAGGAGTCTGGTCTTGTCTCTCCCCGACTCTCTCCGTTGTAAGGCCGTCCCGCCACTGTTGCTGCTGCTGCTGCCGCCGCCGCTCACCCCGTCCACCGTGGGCTCCCTCTCCACTCGATCCGATCCGCTTTCGAAATTCCGGGAGTTCTGATGGGAAGGAGCGCTGGGCGGACGGGAGAGCTGACCGTTCTTCTCATCTGAGAGGCAAAGAACACAGTTCCAGAGAGGAGCTGTTACTCTAATCGCTTTACAAACAGGTGGCTTGTAGAGTGTTCTTAAATGTTTGAAGTTCATTTGTATTCAATTCCCTTCACTCTAAATATCTTTCCTTTATGGAAGAGTTGCTCCTATTGACAGTACTCAACATGACCAAATGCTATAAAAGATTCAGGGCGTATGAATACTTTTACGAGGCTTTGTATGTGAATGTTTGGAACTCACCTGCCAGAGCCTGAACAGATGGCTGATCGTGAGTGCTGAGAAGCTGAGCTTGAATAGTTTCTACGACTCTTTTAAATCTGCGACTGGGACCTAAAGGGGAAAGAAGAATCAAGAGTCGGTTATGAGGCAGTTTTCCCCAACTTCTCCACATTTTACGGTCCTTACTCACAATGTGATGTCAGAGACTTTACCTCAAATCTGGAACAAACTTCCAGAAAACTGCAAAACAGCTAAAACACTGAGTTCCTTTAAATCAAAACTAAAACCCCACCTGTTTAGAGCTGCTTTTGGACCATAATAAATGGAACATTGATCAACATATTGGATGTGTAATGATAATTTTAACAAAGGCACTTCACAAAATGCATACTTTTATGTTTTCATGATGTGAAGCACTTTGAACTGCCTTGGTGCTGAAATATGTTCTACAAAAAACCTTGATCAATTTACAAGGAGACCAGCTGTAAAACCAAAAGAAAGTCTGATTTAGGCACTTCAAAAGGCAGGTAAAAACTAGCTTTACAAAGTACTTACAGTACACTCTAATATGTAGGAGCCTTTACTGGAAATTACTTGCACTGTAAACTTAAATATTAGACTTTTAACTGTTCCAAACTTGGAAGCGTGACCAACAAAGACTGAATGGCTTCTTTCACTTCCTCTGCTGCCATTGCTAAAACTACAGGCAGACTACAATTCTAAAACAGAGCAGAAAATCAACATCATTGTTCACAACTTCTTCTGTTCACTGAAATTCTACTGCAGGAATCCAGCTCAATGGGAGAAATTCCAGACAGAGCATTGAAGGGGGCATTCTCAAGAAACCTCCTGCTACAGTTTTAATACACCAAGATCCAGAATGGCATAATATTTGTGATCTTTACTGTTTATTCCAGTTTGTTGCCATTTCTTCCTTACTGGTGTGATGAAAGTAAATGCCAACAGCTATCTGCATATTTTAAAGCACAACAGAAACACTAAATTCTAGTGTAAGTGGCTGCAAAAGCCAACAGATCCATAAAATCTGGGGTATTAGCAGCGGCCATTGCATCACCAGCTTGGAATATGGACGGTCTGATAAGCTCTGCCTGTTTACAGAAGATAACAGGGAGGGGTGATCCTCTTTCATGATAAATAAAAAAAGCCTTTTCTGTCATCCAGCTCTGTGAAAAATACAATCCAAAAGGAGAAAATGCCATCTATGTCTGTGGAGCGCCACATAAAAGTATTCACTATCTCTTTAACTTTTCACATTAATAATAAGGGCAAGAGGCACCAAAACAAAGAAGACATGCATACTTTGTTCATCAAACCTTTTTCAAACAAAAAAAAAAAAACAGAAAAAAGAACATTTACAGCCAATTATCATTTTTGACAATCTGCCTTTTTTTTGGTAGATTTGACATGGTCTGCCATATAAAATCACATTGAAATACTGTAAAATATGTAAAACCTTTAAGTTTAGGGGTATTAATTATTTTGCAAGGCCGCTCACCTGCTAATAAAGTGAAGGTGACGCTGTAGATGCCCATCTCTCTTCGTCCTTCCCTTTCCGCTTGTTCCTTCTCTCGTTCTCTCTCTCCCTCAGAGAAAGCGATGTCCACCTGCAAAAACGAGAGCAAAAACCTGGACTTTAAACTCAACTTTTCAAACCTTTTGAAACCCTGTTTGACCTATTTTCTGTTGATGTTGGCTGGATAAAAAAAGATGTCAAGGCAAAAAAAGGAAATATGACCTGGAATTTGACAGGTTTCTGGAAGACAGATGGGCCACCCGAGGACTTGTATTCCGCCCGGAAACTATTCTGAGACACCACACTGTGGCTGAGGGAGGGGATCTGTGGAGACAATGGAGGAGATGGAGTCTCTTAAGACTGAAAAGACAAAGAAGACGAAAACGATGTGCGAAGCTGGTTGAAGGCTGATGGCACTCACTGAGAGGAAGGCGTGGACGATGTCCGCCTTGATGGAGCTGAGCGGCTTGTCTCTGATCAGGACAAAGATCTGCTCCTCCTTCTCCAGACTGATGAAGTTACCAAACCACGACCGCTTAGCCAGCCTAGAAACAACAAAACAAAAAATACAATAATTTTGAACCAATTTAAAATGACTTTTACTATGTGTCAGACTTCAGAAAGGGCTTAAATGGGCAGTCACCCAGGGCTTCAATTTTTTGGGAGGCCCAGTGACTTCTTGTTCTTTTTGTCTTTTTTTTATGAATGCATGTTTTGCATTGTATAATTTCGCAATAATTTGAAATAGAGATGAAAAATATCTGTCAACTGCCTTCCGATGAAATTCTCATCTTCCTTCAGTGCTCCTTCTAGGATTTCTCCCATTTACTTGGATTCCCCCAGTAGATTTTTAAACTGGGCTGATCAGTGGACAAAAGGAGAAGTTGAGAACAATTTTGATTTTCTGCGCTGTTTTGGAATTGTATTCTGCCTGTAGTTTTAGCAATGTCAACGGAGGAAGTGAACAAGGTCGTTCAGTTCACATTGGTCACATCTCCAAATACTGTATTAATATGAACAGCTGCCTCGTTGGGCTCGGCACTTCTCTCCTTGCAGTGGAGGATGGTTGTTACAGCACATGCAATTTCAGGTAAGCTTTATAGCATCGAGCTGGTGCATTAAACGTTAGTGATTGGATAAAATGTAAAACTTCAACAGAGCCCACTTCTCCAAGAAGTAATCTTTTTTCAATAGCTGTGAGCCAAGACCATTAGAATGGAACAAAGCGCAGTACAAGGAGCTGGTTTTCACCAGGCTACCCAACACATTAAAATAAATAAAAATTACACGTGTACTTACTCTGGACTGGACTCTGGAGTCAGACTGGACATGTCCTCTGATGTCGGGACTAAAAGAAACACAGGCAGAGAGATGGGATGAAAGATGGGGGAAGAAAAGCCCAGTGATTCTTGATGACAGACTCTAATTTAATTGTTCTAATTACAGCTTATCATGGCAGCAGCATTACTCAACACAGCTGAAGGCTGAAGCACACGCTCCTTTGACAGGAAGAGATGCTACCAGAGACTCTTTCCACCGTTCTGCTGTTATGAAGCTCATTGTGATGGAATTTAAAGTGACGTCAGCCCTCAGGTGAAGCACTGATTTAAAGAATACACTAAGTTCTCCCCCCCCCAAGCCAAAGTCAAAGTCTACTTTATTGTCATCATATGTACTAGACATACCAACATGACATTTCTGGCCATTCCTCTAGTGAAACTAAAAATGTAAAGACATCATATACCAATAAGAATAAATAGTAATCGAAAAGTAACACAACAATAAGACTTTTAACTATTCTATTGTGTATTTTTCTTTTCCCCAAAAGACAAAGCAACATTACAACAATAAAATGGCCTCCAAAAATTCCAAAGTAAATAAGAACATGACAATATCAACAAAAAAAACATCTTCTGTAAATCTTCACTCACCTTGCAGTTTGCGCCGATGGAACCGTGGCGAGCCCAGCAGGTTGTTTTTGAATGAGTTGAGCCTCGTCCTCCAGTGGGTGGAGCTCGAGGCGGCCAAGTTACCGCTCCCTCCAGGACTGGAGGGCGGGGTCAGCGACAGCGAGGCCCCGCCCGTCCCGTCCACTCTGGAGGAAGAGGACGAGGAGGAGGAGGAGGGAGGAGTGGTGGAGGAAGGGTGTTGGATTTGGTGCACGGGCGTGCCGAGCGGGGTGGGCAGGGGCGAGCCCTGCGGTGTGACCTGCGACACAGGGGAAGGGGTGGCAGAGGAGTTAGAGGACGAGTGGACGTTCTTGGACCTGAAGACGGACGGAGAGGGGAAGTTGAAGAACCGCGGGATTGGAGAGAGGACAGGAGAGGGGGAGGGGGAAGGAGAGCGTGGAGTCTGGAGAGGGAGTGACTTCATGGAGTGGAGCTGGGGCCGGTCAGCGGGACCCTTCGAGGGCAAGGTCTGGGTTTTTGGGTCGGGCATCGGGCGGGCGGGCCGAGGAGTGGTGCCACTTCCTGCTTTGGGGTCTTTGGAGGAGGAAGTGGAAGTGGAGGTGACCTCTGATTGGCTAAAGGTGAAGACCGGGCTCTGATGGGCAGACAGAGAAAGATGCAAAAAAAAAAAAAAGAAAAAAACGAGGGAAAGGGATGTGGGCAGATGAGACAGGAAGCAATGGTCATGAAATATGATTCATGGACAGAAAATATCAACAAGATATGTGACAACCTTTTTTACTTGCCTATTTTGAGAAATGGACAGCATGATGTGTTTGAAATGAAGATGTGATAGGAAGGCGGAAGAACATGGCTAGCACAAACAGACTGAGCAAGAGTTGCTAAGGCAAAGGTCACATCACAAGAAATTAATCCTGGAAAACAAAACTGATAGTTATATGCCAAAGTTGTTGATAATACATAAAGAAGGAAAGACTTGGTTCTTTCAAAGTCAGGTTCTGATGTGCTGCATAAATCCAGACAGGAAAGTCTGGGATAAAAGGCTATGAAGGACTCAAGCTAACAACATCTCAGAATAGGGAATATTTAAGAGCAAATTTCCACCATCCAACTATTAAACCACCATCAAACTAAATGTTTCTACAAGTTCAAGCTGAACCTTCATAAACACTTTTTAAATTTAATTAATTTTGCAACAAAACCGGGTTTTACATAGTTCCAATGTACTGAACTGAGCGTTTATCTTGCTATGCTAACTGTGTGGATGGTAGCTGTTAAATTGTCCCGCCACTAATCCATTCACACCAACCCACATAAATACGCCTCGGAACGTTCTTTTAAACATGCCAAACCCATAGGGGGCAGTGTAGCGCAAAGCTAAAACCTATGTCGGCCAATCAGATTGCTACAAAACAACCACGACTTCCTGCTAGGAATCAAAAATGGCGCAAGGAGGTTCATTTGTGTGTATGGATATACAGGTTGAACTACTTTTAAATACCGTATTCCAATATAAAGTTATTAAAACATGATTGGGAATCATGTCAAATCAGTATGTGGATATATCGGCGCATTATTTTTTGAAGACTGTAATGTGCGGGACACTACATTTGTGCAAACACAATTATGGCATTTTCTCAATTTCTTTTTTTGAAATAACTGTTTTTATTGACAGTAAATAAAGTTCTATTTCAAGATGGAACAACAGAGCAGAGTGATGTCAGGTCCTTACCCTGGGACTGCTGAGAGGACTAGAGGACAGACCCGTGGACGCACCGCTGACCGAACGAGACCTTTGGAAGAGTAACGCAAAGAGTCAGTGAGGTGAAGCAATCCAGACGTGTTCTGTCAGCTGGAACGCTTCTGAAACGGTGGCAGTAAATCCGTTTATACCTCTGGCTGTGGGCGTTCGTGTCCAGAGCCCTGCGAGGTGGGGTGGGAGACCCCTGTTCTGTGACGCTGAGGACCTCCAAGCTCTTTCTCTCTGGACGACACCGACCGTGACGCGTCAACATCGGGGAATCCACACGCTTCCTGGGTGGGTCTTGGACAACAATACCAACAACACAGAAACAGAATTTGAACTTTCCACTTCGGTACATCTAATGAAGGTAGAAATGCACCAAAAAAATCATCTAGATTCAGCTGATTTTCAGCTTCAGGAGATCTAGCTAGTCAGTGGCTGGTCAGAGAACATAGCTTCTGAAAGCACAACTTCTACACACTAACACACATTAGTGTGGAAGTTGATACTTTAGGAAGACCACTCAAAGTTAGAAAGGGTGTATATTCTGTTTTTAAATTTAAGATGAAGAGATTAACAATTAGCAAAACAAAACACATGCTGCTGTTTTGGGGAAAATCTCTAGCCCAGTGCTGCTTTAGCCATTCTCAAAATCATTTTCTTATTATTTTGACACAGATGGTTTCATTATTGCCACCTACAGGTGCAGCATGTGTATTACAAAATCTTCGTCATGAATTTCGCAGACAGTTGACCTGATTCTGACAACGTCTTTTGATGAGAATTTTAAAGTATTGCATTTGAAATTTGCAATTACGCAAAAACGTTTTGAGACTCACTTGAGGTAATTTTTGGAAATGACCAAAAATGGAAATACAACTGCAGAATAAGTTCTGAGGTAGAGAACTTAACTTCACACGGGGGACGAGTCTGTCAGTTGTTCTGAGATGTGTGGTCCATGCTAGTTTATTTTGTTTGTTATGGTGATAAATAGCGTCAATATCAGACAAAATTACATTTTACGTAGCCTGGTTGATTCGTTCCAAACCAGTAGATGGAAACACATCCAATGCGCATTTTCCTTTTTTTTTTTTTTTCCTGTTTTGCAACATTTTAAAAGTTTCAGAAGTCATGTGACAGTAGAATAGAAACATCTCTATTATAGACATAGATAATTTAAAGATGGAAGAAAAAAAAATCTGGATTTAAAAAAGTATCTGGACATTGGGAACTTCTTCATCAGCAGCAGACTTCATCCTATTGCTTTATTTCTTCTCATCATATAAGAAAACAGTCGTCTCTATCAGAAAGTTAACTTTAGTTTTTCCTCTTCCTTTTTTTTAGTAATTTAATTTTAACCCAATTTCAGTATGTTTTGTCAAAAGAGTGTAATGACCTGGGCCCAAACTCAGAAAGCAACAGAAAGAATAACATTTTAAACAAAGTAGCTTTATCCTCTTAAACCTTGTGCAGTCTGTTCTGGAACATTCTTCTAAAGTGTGACATTTAATCTAAGACTCTGCATTCTGTCAATTATAAGTGCTTTTGAGTGAAATAAATCCACCAAAATTGGCTTTGGTAGGTCACTGCTGAACAACACTGGAGGAAATGAACCATAAATCTCTGACTGTTGCATTTTTAAATCAGAGTTTAGGAAAGCTAACAGGTTCTGACAGTTCTGCATGTTCACCTCATCAGACCAGAAGGAGACGAAAAACAAACTTCTCTTACCAAGGTCGTTTCTGGGCGGCAGGTCCTCATCTTCGCAGCTCGGGTATCGCTCTTTTCTATCCAGGAGGAGGTAGTAGATCATTTTCTCCTGGTTCTCCCTGCAGACCAGAGAGCAGTGAGACAAAGACAACAAGCTGGCAAAAACAAGAAGCAACGGGAAAGGACAGTTCTCCAGTCAGGTAAAAACATGGACTGGTTGGCAGGCATTTCTGTAAAGATTCTATATCCAACCAATAAGCTCAGGGTTTCTACTCCATCATGTTACAGGTGAGTTCTCAAAGCTGCAGTAGGTAAAGTATGCTTCTTTTCTTTTTTTCTTTTTTTGTACATATTTGTTAAAACTATCATTATGTTCTGACAGAACATGAAACAGGTAATGTGTAAATAAATTGAGATCCTCTGTGTGTTCCTACTGCATTACCAGCTTAGTATTTCCAACAGGCTCTGCTGTGGAGGAGGAGCTGTGGTGTAGCAGAGCACTAAGCCCCTCCCCCTGACTGTGGTTGGTTGTTTCTGACCTGGATTGAAGTATTTCTGTAGATGGCAGCAGGACCGCAGGAAGAAGGCAGAGGAATTTTCACATATATTATCCCTCATGTTCTACAGTCAGGACATGATGACAGTTTGAACAAATACGTAAATAAAACATATCTTAACATATCGTATCATACACTGTGACTTTAAATGATAATGTCATTTTGTAATTATTGCCAACAGAAGGTTGATATTGTATTCACATTCCATTTCTTAGTTGGAGCATAAGTCAGAACTTTCCTTGGGAAAGACGTACAGTAGCTTTCAAAAAGTATTCATGGACCCCAAACCTTTTCACTCTTTGATATTTTGCAGCCAGAATGTCCAATTTATGTGATACATCAACACAAAGTGGCAAATCGCTTTGCAAAATATCTCAAGGCCAGTCAGACTGAATCATTTTCAAGACTTTCCACAAAATCTTAACCAGGATTAATTTCCAACTTTTCCTGAGCTGTTCTGCCATCACATAATGCTTTTATCTAAAAAAATACTCTTCTCAAAACAAGTTAGAAAAATAAGAAAACAATACATTTTGTGATTAAAATAAAAATCTGAAAATGGAAGTAGTACTTTTTCACATCAATATTCAAGAATTATTGAATTACTAAGCTACTGATTTTGCTAAAAAGTTACTTTTAAGTTAATCTTGCTTCATTTCAGGTGTACTAAGATATTTGCAATATAAACTAGACCAAAAAAGTTCCAGTTGGTTGAAGGGACGTCAGTGAAATGTTCACAGCGTGGAAAATAGTTTTATAAACTAACCCTACTTTAAACTGTCTCCTTGCAAATCCACGTCACACAGAGACTTTTATTGGTAGAAAATCCATTTATATAACAGCCGTGAATAACTTTGTTTTGCTTCATGTCATACAGCATGAAACCCCGATGACAGACGCTGAAGTCTGAGGTTGGAATGCAAGAAAATCTGAAAAAGTTGAGGAGGTGTGAGCAGAGCTGCAGCTTTTCAAAAGGAAGTGAGTGAAAATCCACAAACAGAGGAAGAACAGGGACATGGATGGACAGACAGGGAGACACAGGCAGTGTTGTTACTGTCCACTCAGGCAGGTAATGAAGCACAAAACTGCCCGGCTGCATCGGAACAAATGGGATAACGAGTAAAGAGAGAGAGAAACAAAAAAGAACAGAACACAGGAACACACAGTCAGGAGTAAACCGACAAAAACACGACTAGAGTCGAGGCTTTAGAGGATTCTCTCTCTCGCCTCATAACTCCTGCTGCTGTGTGTCGTAAGAAGAGGCTGAACGGGTCGCATGTACTCACTCCTCACTTGTAAGGTCCTGTGTGAGCTTCACTCGGTCTCTGAAGCAGCCTAAAGAGTACATGCTTTCCAGGACGTCTGGGTCCAGGTCCGACAGGGACAGGATCCTCTTCACACACACCCGGCGAGGCGGCGGCTGCTCCGGGCAAGGCTCGTTCCGGCCGCCCCTGGCAGGAAACACGCACCGGCTTTAGAACAGAGTACCGGCAGACATCTTGGTTAAAGTCGGAGCTGACGGTAAAAGCGAAGTGGAAGAAGAAAAGCTGGGGAGAGGTTACGTACTATCTGTGATCAAAACCCAGAAAATGGTGGAAGCCATGTTAGCCACCATGATGTCATGGTCAGCTGCTCATCTCTTCACACTATGAAGCCTACTATTCTAAATCCACTCTCTCTCTCTTATAATCTTTTGTATCTCTCTTATATTCACTCTCTTACGTTCCTCTTTATTATCATTACCTAAGTGAAGTTGTTCTCCCCCAGCCTTCTTCAAATCAGACAAAATTCGTGTCAAACGTTTGTGCAGCAGAAAGTTTTGTTTGTGCCGCTATCATTTAAAAGATATTAAGAAATGTTTCCAGAGGTCATGAAAGGTCAACCAGCCCCCCTCCCCCCACCAGCTTCAAAACAGATAAAATTGGTATCAATCAACTCAACTATGTTTATGCAGCAAAACTTTTGTTTGTGCTGCTTTGACTTTGAAAATATTAGTGAAAGTTTAAAGGCAATTTTGATTTAGTAAAAGTGTGTGGGGGGGAGTTGGCTGGATGACCTTCTGACCTTTTTTGGCTCAAAATGAAACTCATTTTCATTTTGGGCCAAATCAAGGTCATGAATGCTCTTAAAGGGCCGGAAAAGCTCATTCACAAACTGTTCAAATATCAAGGATTTCTTAAAATTAAATAATATTGAACATCTTTTCAGTCCCTCAAGGTTTTTATGATTTTTTTGTGATTTTTTGCAATAAAAATCAAAGTGTTTGTGAAAATAATTGGGAATATTTGCTATATTTGCACATATTTATGATGGTAAATGCAACTTTTATTACTTGCTGGATAGATCATGGACTATAATCTGACATTAATTAAGGCTGAGGCAGCTGCTTAGTACAATTAAGAAAGTTCCAATAAATCTCCAATTATGCGTTAGTGTAAAAAAGGGCAGGGATTTGTTGATTTTCAGTGAATTTTCACAATCATTTGCATGAAACCGGAGGGAGTGATTTATATAATTTAGCAGTAAACAAATAGAAACTGAATTGATTTGATTGATAAAATAATATTTAACCACACTTAGTGTTTAGTCTAGAATTTAGGGGGCCACATAAAAAGTTTGACACATGTGACTTAAAACAAGCTCCTTTGTCTTGAAAAATTTCTTAAAAGTTAGTTTTGAATTATTTCAAGTGTACCAAGATGTTTGCACTAGAAACTAGACCAAAAACACTTGGTAAGATTTTGTGCGTTGGCAGTGTTAGCTTACAGTCAAAGCTGGTTTAACAAACTCTGATATACTTTTATGTTTTTTAAACATCGAACCAGAGAGGTCTGAAACATGGCACCGCACCTCAAAACTAGACAGATGATGTTTTCAAGTTATAGCAAAATAAAAAAGGGCAGTGATTGGAAAAAAAGGAAAAGGAAAAAAAAACAAAACATAAAAGTGTTACAAGAAGCCAGAAGACAATGTTAATGTACTTACAGGTACCAGTTGTGTTTTTGTATTGCTTCAAGCTGGAAGAAGAGAGAATGAACATTATTAGAATGTGAATAAAACTGTTTCATTAGCGTAAAACAATTTGAACATTGTTTTTAAATATATTAGTTGCTCTAGTTTAAATCATACAGCCGATCTGACTTAAAGAAACCACAACACTGTTCTAACAAAATGCTAAATGAACTCAATAACAGCCACCAGATTCATGTTACAATAAACAAACAGAACAATAAATTTTAATATTAGCTCAATTTAAAACCACAAAGTTGAATCTATTTTATAGACGATGATCAAGAGATATTAGGAGCTTATCATGTTATAACCTAACCCTGCTTCACAACGTCCTACTGTGTTCCTCAGTTTAATTAATATTCTCTATATAAAAAAAAAGCTGTCACAGAACAACTTATTTCATTTACTGACGTCGCAGTAAAGGGGTCTGAAAAGAAAAATTGTGCAACAACTTTTCAAATTTTTAATGTTTGCTATCCGCAGGCCACTGCTCCATGTTTGCATGACCTCCAGGAAAGTTTTTCCTGCAGCTGTCCCACTTTGTCCCCTCATATATTATACACCCTGCAGCAGGAACTGCACACGGCGGAGAGCGCTGCATCAGTGGCGCGCTGCGTCTCTGGGGGCCACAGAGACGCAGCAGCTGCCGCTTCGCAGACACAGAGAGAAGCAGGCCTGCTAGCATCCTGTATCCTGTAGCACGCAGTATGTTCCCTTCATCAGCAACATCCTCTGGTTGCTGACTGGCAGGTGGTTCAGTGAGATCCGGCGCAGGCTGAGCTGCTGTGGTTTGGGTGGAGGAGCAGGGCAGGCAGACGGAGGCGCAGAGAGACAGGCTGACCTGGTTTCAGACTCCATTAATCAACAGCTCATCAGACCAACTCACAGCTTTGATTAAATCTGTTGTCGCTGAATGAACCAGACTTTTATCTCACAGTTGTTTCACAGACTCCTCCTCCTCCTCCTCCGAAGAAGCAAATGATTAAAACATCTTCTGCTCCATGAACGTAAATTCAGTTTTTTTCTTTTTACATCCTTCAGTTTAAAATGCGTTGGGTTTTTAAAAGGCTCTCATGTTTCTACAGCTGCTCTGCCTCTGGAGGTCGCCACTGCTGCCGTATTGTGTGTTCATCGTACTCACTCCTGACTTTGGAAAAGAAGCAGTGACAGGGAAAGAAGATACAGATTCCTGTTTCCATCCATCCATCCATCCATCCATCCATCCATCCATCCATCCATCCATCCATCCATCCATCCATCCATCCATCCATCCATCCATCCATCCATCGGGTCACCCTGGACAGGTCGCCAGTCTGTCGCATGTTCACAAACAGCAGCAGCCAAAATGAAACAAATTACAGCTAAAAAAAGGATTTTAAATCCAGAAATGCTAATTTTATGGCACCTGTAATGACAGGGTAGGAGCGTAAGAGACAAAAGGTTTTTCAAGTCGCCTGCTTACAGACTGCTATATGTAAGCATATCAACAAAAGCTGGAGTGCAAGAAAAAAGTGTGGTAGAAGCAGCAGTAGGTTTATAGTTCTGCCTTAAAAGTAATGTTTTATAGGTTTGATGTAAAGTTCAAATTAGGGAGGCACCAATCCACTTTTTTCACTTCCGATACCAATATCAGAAGCTTAATATCAGCCGATACCGATCCGATACAGAAAAACAGCTGAACATTTAAAAAACATTTAAGATGTGTTTCTTTTAAACACAGACATAAATGTAGTGAATTACATATTTATTTGCTAACTCAGGAATTCTAAATATAATGTAAAATAAATGATAAAGCCTGACATGAGAGTATGAAGCATAGCACTAGACTGAATAGATCTGCCTCTATGGATCAGGCACATTGTCACCAATACCCAGTCTAGAATGTTTTTCAATATGGGTAGCGGTACCGATATTAATATCGGATCGGTGCGTCTCTGGTTCAAATTGAACGAGAAACTGAGTTTTTGGGTTTTTTTTCAGCTGCACATATCAAAATCAACCAAACTTCTATCCTGATTTACTGAGATGAACCTTTTTATAGAACTTCTTGTTCCAAACCACCAACATTCTTTAGCTGCCTGACATCAAACCAAAGGCCAGTCCTGTCAGGAAGGACCGTGTTCCTGCCCTTCAGCAGCACCCGAGGTCCCTCCACTCTACTCCACTCTGCCCTATCTGTGGACCGACTTGTCTCTTCTTCTTCCTCTCTCGGTAAGGTCTCGTGTCAGCTTTCATTTACATCCCATCTTAAAGCAAAGCCTGGGGGCTGCATGTTCTCTTTTCTCTCCCTCCGCCCTGTAAATGCCTCCTTCATCCTCAACGTGCAGCACAAAGTCAGACGCCTTTGTCTTTTCAGTTAACGCTTTTGACTTTTCGCCACAAGGAAAACACACTTATTCATTGCACGCAATCTAAATGGAGATTAAAAGAAAAAAAGAATCCAGATGATCCAGATGTTTACTGTGTCCCTACACGAGGCAAACTTTCTTTCAAAAGGATTTGATTCATTCACATTTGGCTTAGTTTTCACCAAATTTATTGGTTTTTGAGAGAGCAACCTTCAATATGTCATTATCAATATATGACTTGAAAATGGTCTCAAATCATCCATTAGGCCTGTCGCGATGCATTTTGCTGGATGATACATTGTCCCAATAATTATTGCGATAAATGAAAATATTGTTGTTTTGTGACCTTTTTGAGTATTATATCAATAATGACATAATAATGCAAGTTCATCCTCTCAAAGATCAATAAACTTTAATGTCCACTTAACACTGGAACTAGAAGATATTTTAAATATCCAAAATAAAACACAACAACCAAAAACAATGAATAAAAACGTAAATAAAAACCACATGATCAAAAGTGTAAATGAAATGGGTTATGATGTCTCTGTAAACAGAATGAAATTCAAAAAACATGAATCATCAAAATGAAAATGAAATTATTGAGCTTACTTTGATTTATCATGCAATTACTTGATTAATTGCTTATCGCAACAGACCTAACAGCAATATTATAATTTATCCCAATAATTTCTGGGACAATTTATTGTCCAGCAAAATTTGTTATCGTGACAGACTTATGTATTCAATTAATTTACTAACTTTTGCAAACAATCATATAGGTAAAGGATATTCTAACAATCCTTTTGCTAATAATAATAATGAACCAAAACGAGGTCATCATATATTGCGGTAAATTCAGATTTTTCCAGATTCAGTGCTTCAGTTTCCTTGTTTTCTGTCCGCCTGTCTTGAGTTCTGACTTCTTACCGTGAGTCGTTTGTCAGGGTTGACTTCTATCATCCCTTTCAGCAAAGCTTGGCAGTCAGGCGGTATGAAGTGGGGCATGTGGAAAACTCCGCTCTTCACCTTCTCCAGAAGCTGCCGCAGGTTGTCGTGGTCAAAAGGCAAGGCACCCTGACATGGGACAGGATGAAAAACAACATGATCCGATCTGATATATGTATCACTTTGCTGTTAGTTGTTTCTGTATGAATGTACTGTAATGTCATGAAGCAGACTTTATTCTGGTACAGATCTCCCACTATAAATGGCAGACATATTGATCAGATGCAATTGATAAAATAATTTCAGGCGTGATGACATCAACTTTTACTGCCATAAATGGAAAACAGCTTTTGGCAATCTGGTATCAATTTTTATCCCTTGCTAATAGAACTGGGACCAATGACTATGATCCAAAGTGACTCAACTGTTAGAGAAAAGCTGATATAATATACAAGATGCATTTATTTCAACACAGTTAATTGTGATTTTAGGAACTCAGTTCAGGTTAACACTTTAAGCAGTTATCAAGTAAATATGAAATGGCTTTCCTTTCCAAATTTATGAAAATATTTGCAGGTTTTTCTACTCTGAGACAATAAGACCTCAGAGTAGACTGTGATTGACAGACATCAAGAGCAATTCTGGATATAATTTTTAAACAAGTAACCTAATTAGTAGCCTAAACACAAAAATACAATGTTTCACCCTCCACTTGTGGAACATAGAGTTTCATGCAGCTAGCATGTCATGTCATGGCAAAGCTAACTATAAAGAACATTGACTTTGGTTGTTCTTTTTGTTTAGTCTTTTTGGTAGCTGGTGTTCTCGAGCCACTTTTATTTACTGTCTATATAATCCGTCTGGTTCAGACAATGTGCCATCACTGATGACACACTTTTAAGTATGACTATACATAAGTCATTGTTTAGCTATAAAAAATGTTAAGCTAGAAATTAGCACACAACCAGACTCAAAGATCCTAAAAGCTGCAGAGCCAACCAGAAATTTAAGTGTAGCTATGGCTACAGACTAAAACACCCGCAGAAACTCTATTGCAAAATTAGCCCACAGCAAATATCTTGTAATCAAGTAAACTTAAAAATGCTTGAAAAGCACCAAAAAGATGCATGCTTCTCTTTTAAGTAGGTTGTTAAATTTAAGATCCATTGACTAAACTGTATTAGAACTACTGTCAAATGAAATGCAGGGTTAGCTCTCTATTATTGAGTTTACTGTATATTTCTGTATTTAAATCTGGTATGTTTGCTTTGTACAGTGCACTGAGACAACCTTCGTTTTGAACTGGAGTCATACAGAATAAATAAAGTTATGTAATTGAACTGACATGAAATAAAATCAGACAGCTGCGGCTCAACCAAAACCCTATCGAAAGACCCTTGAGCAACACCAGGAAGTTGGAACATGTCACACCAGTTTTACACCAGTTCCTTGCTTTTGCAGAGCATATAGATAAAAATATTATTAAGCTATAAGACACTCAACGAAGCAGCAACTCCCTGAAAATGAGACAAGCAGAAAGTGTTGGCTCCTTTAAATCGAGACTGAAATGATCATTTTGTTCACCGAAGCTTTTCTGACAAATTTAAAACCTTGTTTTAGCCGCTCGTCTGGATTCATTTGCTTCAATCTTGCATTTTCTTTTTCACTACTGGGTCAGTTTTAATGTAATTCCTTCAACAGTTTCCTGCCTTATTTTGTAATTAGCCTTTCAGTCTACAGACCTGCTTCAGGAAAGCATCTTAAACTGCCCTGTGTATGAACGGAGCTTTATAAATAAACTTGTTTCGCCTCTGCACAGCATCAATCACTTAAGATTCCCCGATTTGTTTTATTCCTGTAGCAACAGTTCCTGTAGCCCTCTAACCTCTGCAGTGCGGCATTGGCTCTTCATGAAATCAATCCGTGATTAAGTAAAACGCGGCAGAGACGCTCGTTTGACTCTGACTGGTACCGTCCCATCAGCCGATCCCATTGGAAGAGCTGGCACGCAGCTTTGAAAACAACTGCAATGCTACGTTTTAGCATTGCACGGGTTAAAAAAATTCATCCAGTTCTTCCTCAGCTTATCGTCAGGATCACTGTACGTTCTAGTTGTATACAGATGTAAAGATTTTTAAAAATGTCAACTGGAAGATCGCTCTGGCCTTACATTCTAGTACGTCTGCCACAGCGGAATGATGGTAAAATCTTTGTCAGTATAAGAAACTGTTTATTAGGATGTTCTGAAATAAACTGGGGTGTTCCACAAGGCTCACGTTTAGGTCCTACTCTTTTTTATTGTTGATACGCTGCCATTGGCTGGTGTCATCAGGAGATATGGGATTCATTTTCATAGATATGCATGGATTGTCCTGACTTTCCCTCAGCTAAATCAGGACAAAATTGAAGTTTTAGTTATTGCTACCGAGAATACGAGAGAGAAACTCACAGCCCAACTTCCAACACTCAAAATGAATCCTTCACATCACATCAAAAACTTTGGAACACAGCACTTTGCATTTTAGTTCCTAACTCACTGAGCCTAGGGTGCAAATCTTTGTCTACTTTGCAGTATTTCCATGAAATTAAAATCACACGTGAATAACTGTTCACAATAAGTCATTAAAAAACATGCCACACAATGATCCTCCAAGTACTTCCTGTTGTCTTCTTCTTTGTGGCTTGAATCAGTGGCAACATCCACTTGTTGATCATGTGACTCGTGTGATACAAAAAAAAATGTTT